CCCTATATGAATCTCTTTCTATCTATCTGTATACATATATATATATATATATATATATATATATATATATATATATAGGGAGCGCTGGCCTTACAGCCCACACAACAGACCAGCCCACCAGGAGATCTCCAGACCCTCCCGCAGCCACACCAGGCCTGATTTTAAATCTCTCGTGAAAAATTCCTTCATTTCTCACAATTTCAGTCATGGTGTCAACGGAGAAGGAGGAAGAGATTGCTTGCTTCATGGCAGAAAAACAAAAAGAAAAGGCCATTAAACCAGATCAGGGATGAAGAAGGGAAATTTAATAAATTAGTGTCACATACAAAACAGTCCATCGCCGGGCAGTTTATTGTGCGACACCGTGCACGCGGTCGTAAAAATTAATCCTTGCGCGAACATGGGCATCCACATCGAGTCTAATCCGGTACGCGCGGACCTCCGCGGACTGAAGTACACCAGAGTATGTGGGAGCTCCAGGGCCTGTTTTGTGTGGGATTTCTCCTTCTGCCTGGCTCCTGAGTTAGTGGGGACACCGTCTGCTCTGTGATACAGAGTCATGATGACTCCTAACTTGTGCTCTGGGGGTGATGGGAGTCAAACCACAAACACTGGTCTGTGTGGGTGGGTTTGCAGTACACATCAGTTTGTAAATGTCCTCCATCAAAAACTGAGACCTCACAGTCGAAGAAAGAAAACCTGCCATCTTTTACATCTTCTCGTGTGAACTTTTTATATTTATGGGTTGCAAGCTCAATCATCCAGGTAGACATCAACAACTGATTGAGCTGATTGAGCTTACAACCCTTTTTCTGAACCACTTTGGCCTTGATTGTCCCCAGGTTATTTCTGTGAGTAGCAAGTTGGCCATCTGGCCTAAAACATTTGATTGTTGTACATGATGATTGATTGTTTTGGATGGGTGTGTTTTGTACGTGTTAAAAGACTACTTTTGAGATTCCAACAGGAGGTTGACTTGAAACACAGCAGTGAAAGCTACCTATGGGACTGATCTGGTTGGCAGGCCAGAGACTGAGGAAGTCCTCTGGATGGGGGACGAAAAATTTCTCACTTCAAGAAACTAGTCCAGATGACACAATTTAACCTTTTTTTTTTGTTTATATATTTATCCATATAGTTGATGTGATCAGTAAAATGTTGGACTTTCTGAAATTTAATTTTAACCCAGGTGTCATCAACATACCTGAACCAATGATTCATTGGTGTCTAATTTTAACCCAGGTGTCATCAACATATCTGAACCAATGACTCGGTGTCCCTGAAAGACGTCAAGGCTCTCTTTTCTGCCTCCTCCATGTACAGGTTGGCAACAATAGAAAAAAACTGGGGACCCCATAGCACACCCATGTTTCTGCCTATAATATTGCCCTTCATATGTGAATATGTGTTTCAAAATGCCTTCCTGCCAATGCTGCAGCAGTGTTGAAGTTTATGATTCACACGCTGGCCATATATTTAGCATTATACATAAGCTTGTCAATCATAGACGTGGTCTAATGCCATTAGACACTGGGGCAGCTGACCAGCCTTAGCTGGACACTTGAGGCTCACCGGCAGCTAATAACATTAGATCTTAAGGTGAAAGGGTCAAGAACAAGCAAGAGCATTATAATACATGAAGGTTCCTCACTTGTTGCTTTTGTAAAGTTGATGAAATTAACTCAAAAGCAAGAATCAATCAACCTTTATTTAGACAGGTAAATCCCATTGAGCCTCGAGGACTCATTTACAAGAGAGACCTGATTTCAACAAAGAAGCTTTTCACAGCCATTTTGTATTTAGACATTGTGATCCTTGCCATCAATCTTTTGCAAAAGCAAACAACAAAAGCCACCAAAGTTCACAAAATACAAATCTGGAGAAACTCCAGATTTGTGGTTTCCAAACCACATTAACATTTTAACGTGTCTAAGCTTATTTTGCCTTTGGTGTTTTTATTGTGGGAAGCTGTTAATTTATTTCTCTGCAAAGATTTTCACGTGTTCAAGCACGAAGAACCAAACTAATCACATTAATATCTAATGCAAAATGTGTGCAATCTGAACTATAGAATGGAGAACCTAAATCTAAGAAGGCTGTCAGATTTTCAGTTTGTTAGATTCAAAGTTTCTTTTGTGGCTATGGTTATGCATGCATGTCTGCTCTGAAAAAGTAATTGGGTTTCACTTGTTTCATAGATCTGTCCTGTAATGAGTTCTCACACTAAAGCAGGTGTGGTAACACTAACAATTTTTCCAGAGGGCCATTTGACATGGCTAAAGGATCGAAGTGCCACACCACCAAAACAGAAATACACTAGAATGACCAATCACAATTTAGTCTATCCTAGTGAGGAAATAATTTGTGCCACCATTTCGGTAGTGCCATTTGTGGCTCTTTTCCATTGGCTCAACTCGACTCTACTCGGGTGAAACTCGACACGAGTTCAGAGTTTTTCCATTGGGTGGTCTCACCCACTCACTTTCGGCTCGCTTCTTGGGACCTACTCAAATAAGTTCCATGCGAAGCAAGTCAAGCTGAAAATTGGATGCCAGCACAGCGTTGGCCATAATAAAACAGTGTCAATCATGAGTGCCTCCATAATAAGACACCAAACATTTTTAAAACCTCACAACCACAGTATTTGTTTTATTAAAATATATATCCATTAAATGCCAACCTGTAAACCAACACTAAGGTACTATGAGAAGGTGCAGATGTTTCAGCGCTTGTTGGCTGACGACAGAAGTCTGAGGAAGTGAGACCAGATGGTCTCTTTACAGGCATTAACCAGAGGAGGGACGGTGGCTTTGACTCAGCTACGGCATTTGGTGGAAACCGTGGCAGTGAACAGAGTGTTTTATGACTTTATTTCACTTGTTTACCCGTTTGTGGTAAGTTTCAGGCAGTCGTGTTACGATGACCCGCTCACATCAAGACAATAGTTATATGAAAAACTACCTAAACCGAACAGAGTCAGGTGAAATTAGGGCGAAGTCGTGCTGAGACTGGACAATGGAAAAACGACTTTGGCGTCCTTATTTAATGCCAGCATCACAGCAAACCATGAATTTCAATGGGCCACACACTGAATTATAAAATGGGCACACCATAAACACCTTGATCACATATAACGTAGGATCATCTACAAAGATGCTCAGTCAACAATAGACTTGCTCTGTTCTGCTTGAATAGTGACATTTTGGTGATGCAGGAAGAGGGCCACCTGCATCATCAAGGACCCCATTCACCCAGCACACACTTTTTGCCCCGCTCCCCTCAGGCAGAAGGTTGAGGAGCATTAAGTGCAGAACCTCTAGGCTGAGGAACAGCTTCTACCCTGAAGCTGTTAGACTCATGAATCCCTAGTCAGGATTATCGCTGTGAAAACTAAAGTGAGAAAATCACTGCGAAAAAGTCACTGTAAAGCCACTTGGTTGTCGATATGTGCTGCTGATTATCCATAATGCTGATCTCATGCTGCTGATTTTCTTCATGTTGCTGTGTTCATTCGTCCTCGTCTGCTCACACAGGCTCATGTTCGTGCTGCTCTTGTTGGGCACATTGTTTTGTATTATTCATGCTTTGTGTATTCTTAGTTTAGAGTATTTCTTAGTTCATGTCTTGGATCTTATTACTGTTTTTCTTTACAATTTGTATTTTTGTTGGATGTGACTGGGACCCTGTGTATATAGTTTCGTTCCACCTCATGTACCACGTGATGTGAATGACAATAAACAACCTTGAATCCTTGAATTTAGCTTATATATTTTGTTTATAGATTGCTTCATAAAATGATTTTTTTTTTCCAAGCAGATATGTTAGAAAACTCCTCCAGGGTGTTTCTGATTTATTTATTTGTTTGGTTTAAAATAAATAAAAACCCACAGTTGGCACGCTTGGTAGAAACAACACATCACCATTCTCTTCCAACTGTGAAACAGCCCTTAGGACATCTAACAAAGTTAAAGTCAGGTCCTCTGGACAGATCCTTCTTGTTGAAACGTTTAGTCTTTTATCCAAAAGACTTGGTCAGTCTGAGGAGCTGCAATAAACTCAGTTTTATAAATAGGTAGGTCAACTGATTTAGACAATATTGCTTGGCTTTAAAAAAAAAAGTGTCAAGATTTAGTTATATTTTTCTCCTCATCCTTGAAACATCCTTTTTCAGTCTTTAATACGCATAGCAAACAAGTTTTGACAAACTAGTAGAGAACAGACTGGGCTCTTTTCCATTCCCTTGTGATTCCTAACTAAAATCCAAGCTTTGTTTCATGTGTTTCAGGTTATTTAGTTTTTGTCTGAGACATCAAACCCTGCAATTAAGTTGACATAAACGGTTCTAATTTAAGAGCAAACCAGAAGAAACTGCAAGCTGCCAAAAATGGTTCATTATGCAAATTGGCATTAACCTTTCAGAAAACAAAGTCCTCCATCAGCAAAAATGAGATCACATGAAGGAGCTGCCTGTGAGACCTGGATGTTTGGGGTTAAAGATCAGTGTTTTTGGGCCTTGTTGTAACTCAGTAGGTCAGATTCTGCAGAGTTTGAAGTTCAACACTGCGTGTTTTAAAACCAGGCACGTAGAGAATATAATATAAAAACATCGTTTACAACTTTGTGACGACAGAAAATTTAAATTCCCTGACATCCAGCATCTGTGTCCACTGAAGCAAACTCAGAAGAAAACAGACGGTAATTAAACGTACTGTTACGTTTTTCAAGGTTGAAATGTGAAACTTTACCGGGTTAAAAAGCTGTGGAAGAAGCAACTTGTTAGCATAACAAGCTGCATTGTGTGTGACGACCCCTCTTTTAACCGCCAGCGTTACTTACTATCGTCTCCCGGACGCGGTTGTGGAAAAGTTGCTCCCTTGCCGACACGTCGTCCGTTTCCATTATCGAAAACCATTACCAGTAACATCAGCCTTAAAAGCGCTGCGAGAGAGTGGGAACTGGGGAGTAGGTTTGATTAAAAATTTAGAACACGGCACATCTTCTGGGAACTACCGCTGCTGTCGCGGCGGATGAGTTTTAAACAGCTAACCTGCTGCTGCCTCACTGATAAAAAAAAGACAGGCAGGTTGCCAGATAAGACAGGACGTAATATCGTACTGCCGCTTTAAAATTATCATACAGTATTCTGACACAAACTGAAGAGGTTGTGCGCTTGGCGAGCGCACGGTCTGGCTGATCGAATCAGATCATATGTCGGTGCTCAGGTAAATAAAAACAATTTTTGATTTTGGTGACCGAAAATGCCTTTTAAACATATTATATAACGACGTATTAAACCTTAAAAACTAAAATGTTCGTGCATGTACAATAACTATTGTATATTTGGCAACATTAAAGCCAATGGAAAGGGGAGGGGTTTTCAATGGGCAGGGCTTAACAAGAGGAGGGAACAAGAGTTCTTGAGATAGCTGTCAATCATTATTTTTAAAAAAAGGTCTTTTTTAGATACTGTATCCCTTATAATGGGATACAGTAAATGCATTAATAAATATTAATATTTAAACTAATAATAAATAAATAATAGTAAATAAATAAAATAAATTAATTACACGTGAAGGTTTTTTTCTAATAGACTGGTCAAATATGTTTAAAATTTAGTTTAAATTTGACCACTTTAGACCCACTACTATAAGGAGAAAAATATTATTTTTGCCTACCAATATATATTTTAGTTTTGGCACTTGTGTAATGAGTCACTACTGAAGATATTTGATGTTCTGTTAAATAATCAACAGATAACGGTCATAGTGTACATTTAAGTAAAATTTGTCAGCAAGACGTGCTTTAAAATAATATTTTACACTTTTTATTTGCTTTTTTGTAAAGAACTATAGCTTAGCAACTTTTTGAGCTTTTCTATCTTTTTTTTTGTTTGTGTGACTGTTTTAATTTATTGGTTTATATAAGTCACTGTAATAAATAAAGTTGAGATAATCTATACAGCGTTATTTAATTTTTGTTCAAAATAAAAGCCATGCAGACATTTTTATTTCTGATTGTATCAATTTAGATTTTCAAAGTGTAGATATGAAGGCACAGTGTGTGTTGAGATTGCTGTGTGATTTCATTGTCATAATCCAAAGTCCAAATGTTGCAACATGCTCCAGCTTCCACTGCGAAAAGCACCAGAAAGGATTTCTCTGGATTAGGATTTAAAACTCAGAACTAAGTAAGTAACTCAATTTGTCTTACTTAAAGCCAAATACCAAATATATATAAGTGTATATATTACACTTAGAATGTGTTTAAAACAAAAAAAAGTTTGGTGCAATCTTATCACCTTTTTTCACTCCAAGTGTAGCCATGTGTAATTTGATAGCATTTTCCCCCCCAAATAATTAGTTAGTCCCTGAACTAAATTAAATCCTTCTTATATAACCTATTTTTTAAGCAAAATAATAATAATAATCTAAAAGATTAAAAATCCCTTTGCGTGTCTTAACAAAAATGATTATTGCTGTTGGAGGAATCGTACTATGCAACAGTGTTGTCCTGTAATTTTAAATACTTGGAAAAAGAGCTGTAAAAAAATAAGACATGAGATAAAACAAATTTGTTTCAGTCTAAATCAAATGATTGGATGAAATAATAAAGTACAGTATCTTAACATTGCAACACTGATATGTTAAAATGCTCTTGAAAGTTTTTTTTTTCTAACTGGTTGCAGGTTTTGACTAAGGATGAGCTCGTCTGAACAGGAACTGACCCACTGAGGTCCACAGCATGGCAAAAAGTGTGCTGGTAGCCTACACCCTGTGGGCTGTAGGTGGACCTTTGGGCCTTCACCATCTCTATTTAGGAAGAGACAGCCATGCTTTGCTGTGGATGCTTACTTTGGGAGGATTTGGGTTTGGCTGGGTCAGAGAGGTCATACGCATACCTGCCTATGTGACTGAAGCTAACCAACATGAACAACGTGTAGAAGAAAAAGAAGGAAAACCTCACAACGCTGCCCTCCCACCTGTCAGCCCAGTCAGATTTGCCGGACAGGTGTGTGTTGGGATCTACTTTGGCACTGTGGCTTTCATCGGTCTCAACTCCCTTAATTTCTTCTACCTGATCGTTTTGCCTTTAAGCGTGGGTGCAGGGGTACATCTGGTGTCCAACGTCGGTCAGCAGACGTCAGATCTCCAAAAGACTTTGACAGCTTGTCTCGTGACATCACCGATATTCTATGGTAGCACTCTTTCGCCTCTTCCCATAAGCTTGGCGGCGAGTTTCACTGCTGTGCAACATCGCAGGTTCAAACCTCCAAGACCGCCAGGCAGCAAACAGAGATTAGGTGAGCTGACCTTCTGTTCTTTTTATTTTTGTAACCATTTGTTAAAGAAAAAAAAAACAAAAAAAACACAAAGGTCACTGAAATCACTTGAAACTGATAAAAGTAATAAAAAGAAACTACAGTAATTATAGAAAACCAACTAACAGAATGCCTTTGAATTGTGGTTCAACCAGATTATTTTAAAAAGCAAACTAATTTGACTTTAAGGACATCATTAACTAACGTGCATCCTTAATTAGCACCACAGGTGTCTTCAATCGTGTTATCAATCAGTCTGCCTATAAGGTAGTCACTGTGCTGTTTGGTGTCATGGTGTGTTCCACACTGAACATGAACAGAGTTGTCTCAGGAGATTAGAAAGAAAATTATTGACAAAAATGTAAAAGATAAAGGCCATCACCAAGCAGCTTGATGTTTCTGTGACTACAGTTGAACATATTAGGAAGTCTATGGTCCACAGGACTGCAACCAACTTCCCTTGTTGTGGCGTAAAGGAGCATAAAATTGATAAGTTGAAGGGATGAATAACCAGGAGGAACTGTAATGTAACCAAGGAGCCCAGAACATCTTCCAATGAGAGAAGATCAAGGTACATCAGTGTCAGAGTGCACCATCCATTGCTTCCACTTAATGGAAGGAGACCAAGGAGGACACTAGACTCTGAATGCAAAAAAAAAAAAAAGAGACTGCATATTGGCACAATGCAAAGCTTCTGGGAAAATGTCCTTTGAACAGACGAGACAAATGTGGAACTTTTTGTAAACAAGCCCCATCAGCTTTACGAAAGAGGAAGCTAGGTTATGTTCTGGCACTACTTTGGCATGGGGGGGGGGGGGGTGTCTTGAATTTGTGTAAGCCAGTGTACAATGAAATGTCAAGACCATCAAGACATTCTGGAGTGAAACGTGCTACCCAGTGTCAGAAAACTTGTCTTGGTCACAGGTCAGGATATTGACTCAAAACACACATAAAACCAGCTCATTGCACTACTCTGAGGTGGCCTTCTGAGCCCTGACCGTCTGTGGAGGGGGCTGATGGTGGTAAACCTTTCAAACCTGAGTCAGGTGGAGCAGTTTGCTCATGAGGGATAAACCAAAACACCTGTGGACAGGTGCAGAAGTCTCAGAGAGTCCTACAAATATCACTTGAATGCCTCAAGAGGTTTTGGAAGTAATGGCACCATTCTTGTTGTCAAGGCCAGTGTCACTGGTAAAAAAAAAAAGTTATCCAGTTGAGCCACAAGCTATGTTAGATTTTCATTAGTTGATTTTCAATCTTTTTTATACCTGTATATACAGCATTATGTCAATTTCAAGTTATTATAGTGACCTTTGTGGGGCTTTTCTTTCTTTAATGAAAGGGTAGAAACAAATGTATCTACATCTTACAGTTTTCAAGACCTCACTGTATTTTTCTCTCTTTTCATTCAGGTCCCCGGCTGTATCGGCTCGGTCTAGCCTGGTTGGCTTTCTCTGCTCCATTAGCTTACTGTATTTTCTACAACACCACAGCCACACTGTACTACCTGTCTGACACAATAGCTGCGCTGCTGGATATTTTCTGGTTTCTGCCCTGGCTCAGAGGTGTACTGGAGTACATTCTTCTAATGCCATACCGCATCATGTGCGCACTTACCGGTGGAGGGTACCACGAAGAGGCTTGGAGAAAGGTCTTGGAAACATTGCTGAAGGAGTACACGCATAGGGAAAAAGAGGCGCTGCAGGTGAGCAGGTTCACATACGTCACATTTCACTTTCTTGATATACTCTGTTACTTCTGTCTGTTTTGAACTGCAGGTGTTGTCGTTGGAGGCAGAAGCATCTATTGAAGAGATAACTCGAGGCTATAGGGAGCTGGCCAAAGCATGGCATCCAGACCACAATCCCAGCAAAGATGCTGAGCAAATGTTCCTGAAGATCCAGGAGGCTTACAATGTCCTGCTGCGGTGGCACAAACCACAACGGTTCAAATAGCCTCCCTGCATTTGTTTCTACTGACTGATTGCATTGATAGGGATTGGTAATTGAATAGTTTGTTGGACCAAGATGATTTATGTGCACAAAGATGTTTTTAATCAGCTGCTGAATAACATCAAGGGTACCTTTTTAGAAATGGCCTAATGGGGACCACTGTAAATCTTGATGTATCACCTGTCTTCTCTCATATTCATACAATTGAAAACAATTATTGAAAGAATACATATCACCAGCCGCCTTGCGTGCCCAAGTTTTAAACAAAGATATTTTGTTTGCTAGTGCTTGGTAAGAGATTATTCTCAGCCACTACCACACAGTTTTAGCTCGGCATCAGAAATATTTACTGAGTAGCTGTTTTTGCATTCAATATGTCATTTACCTGTGGTGGCCATCTTACATTGGATTGACTGAGTTTCATTCATTTATATATGTCTAGCTGTACATAAAATATTTTACTAACAGAAATACAGGGTTGACTTCAACAGTAAATGTCAAAGAATTAAACCAAAGCTCTCACACAATCTGGCCATGCTCTGAGCATGTCTTGGTGATGACTCTCAGCTACTGCCACATCAAATTTCACCTCTGCGCCTGTAAAACAGAGTAATCATTATAGTGTTTGCTTGATTAGCTGCCGTGGTTAAAATGAACCAGGTTCAAAAGTTGATCAGTCATAGATGTATATCAAATCATTACTTTCTGATAGTTTCACTCAAATCCATCCATCGGTTAACAAGATATTTTGCTAACAGATTGCGCAAACAACACTGTCTGGGCCATCTTTTTTTTTTTAATGTCATAAAGCAGTTTGGTGCCACCTTGTGGCTTTACAGATGTAGTAAAGAAATAACGTTGAATCAGTAATTTTATCTTGATTTTTATAATTTGCTCGCTGACCATCAGACATGATATATTTTTGTGTGATAATAAACTGGTTAGTTTTTCAGACAAACGCAGTAGCCAATAAAAGTGTGCATGTGTATAAAAACACCTTACAATACTGCTCCATTTCAGTAAACACACATTTACCTGTGTTGAAGAGGTAAAACATCTTTCCTGCTGCCACCTGTCATAAATCGATGTTTTCGACAATCAGTGGATCCGCAGCTCTGTCTGTATCCCAGCGTGGCCCCGGAAGTTGTTTGGGATTCAGGTGTAAAAAAAAAAAAATCCTGGAGATGCTGCCGTCGCTTGGGAAAACAAACTGTCATCCAGACAAATAAAGACACGCAGAACAAAAACCCACGGACCGTGTCGCCAGGTAAGGACCCCGTCAGGTGCGCCGCTCCGCGTGGATGGGGAGGTGCGTGTTTTCTAACACTTGGTTTGGGTGAATGCCGTTTGTCGTGTGGTCGGGTGCCATAGCAACGGCTGGAGGGGAAACATTGTTCAGCCCAGGCCAGTTTGACGCGCTCACGCGCTCACTCAGTGTTGGATGACAGCTGCGTTCATGCGCACGATTCGGACAAGTCCTGCAACGGATCGCTGCCGCCGTCTGGACTCCACCTGCGGACCGAATGATCCAAAACAAGTCGGACGGTCGGACTATAAGGCGCGAGACTATTATTTTTATATATTGCTATATATATATATATATATACATATGATTGAATGCACAGAGTCGACATTGTGAGGGCAGGGAGGAAGAGGAGGAGGATCGTGAAGCGCCGCTGCTTCGTACCCGCCGTGCCCCGGTGTGGCTGCGCGTCTCCCGGCTGCAGCAGCGCCTGTTGCTCCCGGTGCGCGGCCGGTGCCAGGGTGTCCATTTCCCCTGAGATGCGCTGTCTCCGCCTCTCCAGAGTCCGTGTCCACCGCTGTCATCCATTTAAGCATGAAGGCGCAGCCTCGTTCATCTTTGTCTCGGAACAGCTCCATCTGCTCTAAATGAAGCGCACGGGCGGAAATAATGTCTGAGGACAACGTAAGTGAAGCAGACAGCGCGGTCCGGTCTGCTCCTGGTGTCTGCACCATGTCTCACTCTGCTGCTCAATAACTGCTTTTATGGAAGCTCCAATAAATGATCATGATCAGGCTGAAAGCATGTAAATAAACCATTGATTATTACTGTACCTCCACAATTCTGATTTAATCTATGATTCTGTACAATATAATATAATATAATATAATATAATATAGGCTAATGCATATAACAAAAATCTTCAAATAAGTCCACATTTGTTGGTGTATTTTTTGGAGTATGTATTCAAAGGAATTGCAGCTACAGCAGCAAAGTTTCAACTCCTCCTTCGATGGACCACTATATAAATGTGAAGCCTCTCGCATTCATTTTGTGACACAGTGGTGAAAACTGTACAAGATCCAGAAATATTTAAAAAAGAGTAAGTTTTTTTTCATGCTTTAGGATTAGTGTAATTTTTATTGGACTCAAAGCATCTTTGCCCTATTGTTGTTGCAACTGTCAGCTGATAATTGTATTTAAATATTTTTGCAGATATGTATTTTTTTTGTTTGTTTTTTTGAGTCTTTACTAACTTGTCCCTATGCAAACCAGTAACATTTACCATCTGGTTTTAAACTGTTTTTACAGTTGTCTGGTGAGAGAATGAGTGCTGACTGCAATGGACGCTCATATGCACAAGGTAAGTCAGTCAGTGATGTGGTGTCAAAACATAAATCAACACACTTTTACACACTTTTGTTATACCACTGGACCATTTTTTCCCTAAATATGTTGTGCCATCACATTCAAAATATTTCCCCCCTCATAAAGTAATATTTCTTTATTTAAATATTTAGTATGTCCCATTGTGAATCAACTATGGCAGAAATGTTCAAACCATTGCTTTTTATTTCTTTTTAAAATATTTTACACAATGTCCAACTTATCCGATACTGTGTGTGGTTAAAAGAATACTATAGCCATGCTTCCGTGTTTACTTGGAACACTTTTTTTGTTATATATATATATATATACATATATATATTTTTTTAATAATGTGTGTGTGTGTTTCAGGTGGAGGAGACTCGTCAGCAGAGCAGGACTTTTATGGCAGATTGCAGGGTCCTTCTGCCAGAACTCCCAATAGTCAGCAATCATCACCGCACCGCTCCTTAAGTGGTTAGATGTTCTTCTCTCTTTTTTTTCTTTAACCTATCATATACATTACATCTTTTAAATCAAACATTGAATTGTATTTTTTATTTACTCCTAATCAAAGCAAACTCCATCAAGGTTGAGCTGTGCAGCGATGACGAATCGTCAGGTGCTGCACAGCCGGACAACAAGGAGGCCGTGGGAGTTGAGGGTCTGAAAGATGACCGAGGGGACTCCGCAGAAGAAGGAGGTGCAGCACTTTCTGGAGCCGGGAGAGACAGAGGGAGCATCTATAGTGAGATAGCGACTCCTAATTCTGCCTCACCGGGCCCTATCCGGCTGCCCAATGGGAAGCTTCAGTGCGAGGTGTGTGGCATGGTCTGCATTGGACCTAACGTGCTGATGGTCCACAAGAGGAGCCACACAGGTGAGAAGAGAAGTAGAATCAGCACGCCGGGCACGTAGCGCCCAACCATAACGTATTAAACGTGATTAGACTTTAGCAACCTCTGTCCATCTTTGTGATTGTAGGTGAGCGTCCCTTTCAGTGTAACCAGTGCGGAGCCTCCTTCACCCAGAAGGGGAACCTGTTGCGCCACATTAAGCTGCATTCAGGAGAGAAGCCTTTTAAATGTCCTATTTGCAATTATGCATGTCGCCGGAGAGATGCCCTCGCTGGCCATCTACGCACACACGCAGGTAAATTTAAGAGCTGATGACAGCAAAGTTATTCTGCTGAAAACGTAAACTACATGCCTTTAAACATAATGACCATCAAGAGCTACATCCATATGCAACAACCTTGTTTCTCACAGGTGTAATCGGGCTGATACTTGAAAGTAGGAGCCACAATCAACCCCAGGCTGATTGCTCTTCGAGCTTTAAGTGTTGTATAACAGTACCTAATACATCAAACAGGCAGTGAAGAGATTTATCGAGCAGGGATTCATGGAGCTACTGAACTTAACGGACCATTGTTGCAAAACTAAGTGGTGAAAGTGGGCCGTTTAAAGAACGGTCCGTTCTTCTTCCTTTGAAGCTCAGAGGAAATAGGTCTTCATCATGAGAATTTTCTGAAGCACAAAAAAAAAAACAATAAAAGACAAATCGTGACATTTAGCAGATTTTAAAAACAGGAAATCCTGTTCGTGCGCTTTCAATTTTTGTGAGCAACAGGTGTTCACATGCAGTTTTGATAGAGAACATTAGGCCTCGCGGTGGATGCCTTCGGCTCGCAGAGGTTCGTTTTCAGAGAAATGATCATCACGAGCGGGATTTCAGCAAAGTGACGTCAGTCCTTCCGACTGCTTACCTAACTGGAACGTTGCGGTGAAGGTTTTAGGCGGTTTTCCATCACTTTCAGGCAACAAAGATCGATTTCAGGAACACGTAATCAAAGGGAAAACCCATTATCAAACATATTTAACAGAGCATTTTTAAAAAAGTTTTTAAAAATCCCCACGGGTAAACAAATTAACATCAGTTGGCAAGAATTTACACTTTGCTTGAGCAAAAGTTATCCCCATGTTTTATCATCCATCTCTTTTAGAACGACTCAAACAAATCTTTAAAGAAACAAATGAAATATGTTTTGTCATTTTCAGTTTCTTCTCCGACGGTGGGAAAACCGTTCAAGTGCAGCTACTGTAATCGCAGCTACAAACAACATAGCACACTGGAGGAGCATCTGGAGCGATGCCATAGTTATCTGAAGACTCTGGATCCCCAGGCCGCCATCAACACACAGACAGCACAGGGTAACGCACCACGCCAACATGAACAAGTCCATGCATTAACATGTAAATCCAATTATTGGGCCTTGTGGTCCTCTCTCTGTGTACAGGAGAAGAATCCATGAATATGGAGACAGTCGATAAACCCGTTCTGCAGCCATCCAATGAGAAAGTCCAGTTTGTGGATAGACTGCCTCTTAGTATAACCAAACGCAAAAGGTCAACACCACAAAAGTTTTTGGGTGAGTTTTTGTCCCAGCCAAAATGATCTTATTCATCTTTTTATTTCTCAGCGTATGGATGTATTCATGGTACTCATTGCAAACTCATGAAAATTGATTAAAAAAAAAAAAAAGATAAATTAGGAAACTAAATCCACAATTCTTTTCTTTTACATCTGTCATTAATGTGCCCTTAATAAAAAAAAAAAAAGGAAAACTTGTGAATGGATGCCAACTTCCACTTTGGTCAGCCGACATGACTGAAAGCAGATCAACAATGGCAACGTTCATGAAAGAGACGTTTGAGATCAGGAAATCTGACAATTTTGATGTATTGTTACACATTTACACACATTTATTGAGCAAATTATATATCACATCATAGACTGGAGATGAATTAGGATTTGAATTGTAAACGTTTTCAGCATTAGACCGAAGTTGAAAAAACCGTCCGCTTGGCATTCGGTTGAGAGTGCTTTGTTTACATTGAGTATGTGCTCATGTTTCAGAATTGCCTATCAGTATATTTCAGTGGTGCAGTCTACATTTTTGTACTGGGTATACTGTGCTTAGAATCCAAAGTACACCAGTTAGTACAATGTAATCGTCAATTTATTTTGAAATTTAAGCATATTGAACATTTCAAAATTTCTCTGATGCTTATATTTGAATAAATGTACAACACACTTTGTACAACAGTTGGTTTTGTATTTAAAACATGTTATATAATTTATAAAACAGTATCCAAGCAAAACATGTTCAAGTATTAAGTAGAGAAGTATTAATTATACAAAAAACAGGTTGAACCAACTCAATGTGACTATAAAATGTTCCAAATGTATTGACAATGACACATGCCCAATGATATGTCACATATCATTGGGCACTTTTAAGGGTCTATACTGAAATTCCAAAGATTTTCTAATGGGTATACTCCTTATACCTGCGTATCATAGACTACACCACTGGTGTATGTGGAAAACTATTGGAATAAACCCTTTCAAATGGCACCATCTGATATAGTTCAGGATATTCTCTATTATGTTTTATTTTTGTTTGTAAGGAGTACCTCTAATGACCACTTGCACATTTTATTTCATTCTCTGGTTTTGTTTTTAACTAAAATTATGTTTTTTAAGTGGGGTTTTGTGGAAAAGTTTAACCAACTAGCATCTTACCTGTCATAGATAGCTGTTTGAACAATCTCAGTTTACCTCTGATTGGACTGACAAGCTAGGCTATTAGTTACACTTCTAACATAAAAACTTTCATAGAAATTAATATGAACATTATTTGTAAACTTTTACACCCCTGTTAGTTTTGCAACAGATCTTTATCTATTTCAGGAGAAATCTGTTTTACAGCGAGCTCGTGCTGCTGATTACGCTTCAAACAACCACAGAAGTTTTTGTAAATTATTATGTAATGCAAAATTAACAACATTGTAACAACAACTAATTTGGCCTAAAAATTAATAGTGAACAACAATGTCAACTGTGGTCATTTGCAACAGGTAAGATAATTGTTCATAACCTTTTCTCAGCACCCCACTTCAAAAGATTCAAACTATAGGTTTAAATGTTATTTTTTGTGTCCTCTGTAGCAGAAAAGCACATGCACCTTGATCCACCAGAAGCACCTTATGAACTGTCCTCGGGTTCTGAAAGGGAAGGGGACCTCATCAGCTCCCGTTCTGCTGGCGAGTCAGCTGGGCTGGTTGGTCCACACCTCCACTACGCCCGGGGAAAAGCCGAGAACCACGAGGCGCCCGCGCTGTCTCAGCTCCACGCCGGCTTTGTGGCGGAACTCCGCACAGTCATGGGCTCCATCAACAGCAACATGACCCCTCAGGGCCCCCGGGCCCACAGCAGAGTTGGGCTGGCAGCAATGTCCCTTGGCCTTCCTGGACGGGAGGCGGGCGAAGGCCGTGATGACCAGCGCTCGGCACGCAGCCACACCACTTCACCCAACGGCTGCCCTGACTCCACGGACACAGAGAGCACAGCAGAAGAGCAGAGCACAAGGGCGACAGCCCCTACAAGTACCTCCAACAACCACCACCTCCACTACCTGACCCCCGCACTGCCCCACAGCCATCTCACCTCCAGCCCCAGCCAAGCCAAAGACTTGGATGCAGAGTGGGACAGAAGGGGTCCGGTACCCCCCACTGTAGTAAAGAGAAGCCCGGGCTCACCTCTTTCTTCCAGGAACAGCTTGCAGGTGTTAGACAGGGCTGGCAGGCCCGTGCGCTCCTTCTACTGCCGGCACTGCTGCATCGTCTTTCTGGACCACGTCATGTTCACCATCCACATGGGCTGTCATGGGTTCCGCCAGCCGTTTGAGTGCAACATCTGCGGCCACCCCAGCCAGGACCGCTACGAGTTCTCGTCTCACATCAGCCGTGGAGAGCATCAGGTGGGCTGAGGGCAGGAGAGACCGAGCTGCTCCAGGAGAGGCGACTGTTGCTTTCTGAACCCGATGGCTCATGTTCTGTTCTGCACCAGATTAGTTGCTTTAAATCCCCAAAACAAGGAAAAAATCAATTTGATTTTACTGTGAAAACATCAGCAGATGTGAAGGAAATATATTGTTTTAGTGCACCAGTGAGTGATTAGTTGAATCAAATTGAAGCTTATAATTAAATGCACTCCCATATCAAATTATGTGGCAAACCAGGTTTTGTCTCAAAAGTGCCTTCTGCTGTGGGGATTTCCTCTTTAAACACACACCACACACACACACACACACACACATACACACACACACACACACACACACACACCAACAACCAGGGGAGTTCTGGTGCTCAAGAATCTTATCTAGCCATCTGTTCAATGTGACTTAGAACTAGTTTGTTCTATTTAGACCATGCTCACACACATTTATGGAAAGCACTTAAAGTTTAAAACTATATTGCTTAGTTCCTTTTTTTTGCTGAGGATATTTATTATAAAGTGTCAGGTAAGCTTAATATGCACTGGGAGCTTCATGCCTCTGGCTGCGAGGGAGCTTTTGTCTCAAGACGAAGCACAGACGTGGATTGCCTTAACTCCCACAGCAGCGCTTGGCTGTGGGAAAACACTGTTTACAGGGATGATAGAAAAGAGGATATTTATGGACATTTAGGACAAATTTTTTGTGTGGATTCTAAAGCGAGCCTTAGGGAACTGGTGCAGAGCAGACCATGAGTTTTTATCATATGTAAAGAGCCTCACCGTATCAACCCAGGGTGCTCTACCTCGCTCCAGGATTGCACTTTTAGATTCCCTGCTTATATATGAAGGCCTCCGCTGAAGCAAGTTCATGGCTTTACAAAACAAAACAAAACAAAAAAAAGTTTCCTGTGATTGTTCTACTGCACTGACAAACAGCATAAGTACTCACAATAACTGATGCGTTTCTCAAGAACCCGGCCTTCTACAGCGTCCCATGGCGCAGGTTCTGCAGTTTCTGTTGAGTTTGCTGCAGTGCGCAGCAGACCCAAACAGTCCTTTTGTTTTCTTAGAGGTTGCAACTGAGATTTTAAACCATTTTCATGATGTAAGTGATTTTAAAGGGATTATTTAAAAATGGAATGAGCAACAAAATCAGTTTGGATATGTTCAGTTATCACTTGTGATTCTCTATTTAGTGTTGTTTGTTTCAGCTTCGGTGTATTTAATCAGCTATATTCCAAATGTTATCCAGCATATTCCTCAAGTCCATGAAATGTTACCTCCTGCTTCTTTATAGCACCCAAATACCTTATTGCTACAGTGTGGTGAATTATTTCATGATGTTAATATTGGGAACGTGAATGAAACCAAACTCAGTATTCTTACTTATCGTGGGTTTGCTGCTTAAATAGTTTATCTTGATTTCCTTTACTAGCAAGCAAATTGTACTTGAAACTGTTTGAAAAGAAAAAAAATGCACTTGGGTTTGATAAGTGTGTGTGGGTGTGTGTGTGTGTGTGTGTGCTCGTATGTGAATGAATGAAATGCAGCATGTGTGCTCGTCATTTTCTGTTTTAAACGGAATTGTGATTTTTTTTTCCATTTAATTTTCTTTTTTTTTTTACGTGAAGTAATTCCACAAAGTGAAAACGAGGCATGGTTTTTTTTTTGGTCTCTTTGTGTGGGCTCTGTGTTTTAAGATATTTTGTGAATGATGTAACATAACTAAAACACTTTACCTCAAAGTTCAAGATGTACAACTGCCTCATTAATTCTAAAAGAAGTCATGTTGCTTTCCAAGATGTTCTTGCAGTTTTAAATGCGTGCCCCTTGATATTTTCAAAACTTTTTACTGTCAATAAAGTTACATTTATTGTAAAAAAAAAACCACAAGCTCAAACGATTCCAATTTCATTGATAGCATCCACACCTATGCGCTTGTTTTAAGTATATATTCAAGTATTTTGATCCTTTGAACATGCCTCTCCCTCAATCTGGTTTCAGGAAACAACACAGCACAATGACTGCTTCAATGAAGGTTCTTAATGATGTTGAAGCACTGGATGCTAAGGATTATTGTGCTGCACTTTTCTTAGGTCTGTCTAAAGCTTTTGACACTGGATCATGACATCTTGTGTCATAAGCTCTTAGAAATTGGTTTCTCAGTTCACACCATTGGTTGGTTCACTAACTATCTCTCAGATCAGAGACAATGTTCAACATAATGATATTTCTTCCAGTTATTTAATGGTTAACAATGGTGTACCACAAGGTTCAGTCTTCGGACCCACCTTCTTTACAATCTAAATAAATAATTTAGGTCAGATCATCCCTGATGCATCCATACATTTCTATGCGGACGACACAGTTGTTAATTATCAAGCTAAAAACAGTTGTTAAGGTTTCCCAGCTTTTACAGTCTGCTTTCAACATCCTCCAGTCAGACTTGTTCCATCTCAAAGCTGTGCTAAATGCTGACAAAACCAAAGGCATGTTGTTTTCAATTTTATTGCACATCTCTCTTTTAAGCATTATGTCAAAAACTTGGTAAAGATATTGAAAGTAAAACTGGGTTTCTGTTTTAGAAATAGATCCTGTCTAACTCTGAATGCTAGTGAACACCTTGTATCTGTGACTTTCCTTCCCTCCATTGATTACGGTGACATTATTTACATGAATGCTCCTACAAGCACCCTGCAGTGCTGGATGCTGCCTAGCACGGTGCATTAAGATTCATAACTAGCTACCGTACCCACCACTGCACCCTGTATTCACTGGTCATTTTTAACTTGACCCAGACTCTCTCGCTGGTACATTTTAATCTTTAAATCACTGCTTGGTCTGTTGTCTTCATACATCTCCTCCTACATGTCACTTCGTCAGTGCAGCTACAGCGTGCACTCTCAGGACATTATTACCTACAGTGTACCCTCAGACAGTGCAGACCGAACTAGGAAAAAGGGCTTCTCTTATTCTGCTCCCGTTTCCTGGAACACCTTGCAAAAAGATCTTAAGCTGTCGACTTTGACCACTCTTAAGGGATTTTAAACAACAAAGTTCATGGCAAAAATCAACACAGATATGTTCCTCTTTTTAATATTTTACATCACTTTATAATGTAGCTGTTTTTGTTTAGTTTTTATTTCATTTTTTCTATTTATTTTTCATTTATATGTTTTTTTAATGATTGTCTATTGTTGTCTTTACTTCATCTGTGTTCTTTGTTTAAACCAGGTCTCTCTTGTAAATGTGTCCCCGAGGCTCGGTGAGAGTAACCTGTATAAATAAAGATTGAATGCAAAAATTAAAAAATTAAAAATAGGCAGTAGAAACACAAGAAAACTGCATCATTCCGTTTCAAACTGTGCATAAGTTACATTAGCTACAGTTGATCGGTTATGACAACGTGTTTATCATAATCTCATCCATAAGAACTATTATTGTAGAAAGTTGACAACTTTACAAGAGCTGAACTGTGGAGAGCTGAAAGAATGAACTATACAGAAAGTATCATTTGCATAAACTTGAGATCAAGTTTAGGGGGAGTAAAAAATTAATTGGAACTAGAGAACATGTTATATATGTCAACCACATATTCCCCTCTCCATTGAAATTTTGTACAATTAAGTAAAAATATATAGATATTTATAAATTTTTGCAATTTATGTACAGGAAATATCAATACCATAAATACTTTTTTGTTTTCATCTTCATCAGCAAAGATTGGATCAAGTATGTCTCTTTCTCATTCTTATTTAAATCAAGTTTTACTGTTGATGTTAAACATAACCAACAAAAAAACTTTACTGCTTTTCATTGATTTTTTTTCTCTTGTGACCTTTATACCAACAGGACAAAGTTCTATGTATATTTGTCCTGTGTAAAAATCTGTTTAAGCAGATTTTATGTACAAACTTATGTTTAAGACAATCTCTAAATTTAATGATAACATGCAATGTGTGCCAAAACAATGTGTTCTGAGTTATTGATGAGGAAACGCAAAGTTGAGCAGTGTGACAAGAATCAATTTTAAACAGGCAAATAAAATAATATTTTGATTTGATTTACTTGGAAAATATAATGTCAAGCCCTTCAATATAGTTCAATCCCTCAAAATGCTTTAGATGTGCATAATGTTGTTTTACAGTCTTAAATGAGCAGAAAGAGTTGTGCAATATGTTTTAATTTTGATCAATAACTGTATCACGTGTGCAATCAATGTGTGTTTTTCTGCTGGAAACTGAACATTTTAATCTGTGGGTCACTATTTAGCACGTAGTGTAGTAAAATCCAACCACTTCAAGCCATATGCATAAATTATTTAATGAAAATATCTGCTTTGAAACAGTTCAATATAATTAGTGCTCATTTAAGGGCATGGCACAACTTGAGAAACACTGTGTGGCCTACTTACTGTATATATTCAGCATTTACTATTCTGAGGAAATAATCTGTTAGAACAGGCAGAGGTTTAGTCATGAATTTACTTAGAACTGCTACCAGACAGGAAGCTTTCAGGCAGCTGATGTATGTTTTACTTAACAAACCACCACAAAACTATAAAAACAAAAGTACGTACCGTGAAACTGTGTAATAAATGTGAAATGTTATGAGCTTAATTACGTCTGTTTGATGCAGCCCAATTATTCTCATCATTGGCAAAATGTGTCTAATGAGAGTGAAAATAATAATTAATCATTTTAAGTTGGATTTTGTGTAACTTTTGATCAGTTTTTATCTCCAACTCAGTTTTGATGTTGCAGACTGAACGACTGTTAGCTTAGCCTGTTAGCAACAAAACTCTTGTCCAATGAGCAGGTTCAAAATGTAATTTTATCACCTTTACTAACTGCTCTTTCTGTAAATTTAGGAATCATTAATAGAGTTTTTTTTTCATTCATCCATCCATTTAAACTTTATTTACACAGGTTAGTCTCATTGAGCCTCGAGGACTCATTTACAAGAGAGACCTGTTTTAAACAAAGAACACAGATGCAGACAACAATAGACAATCATAAAAATTAAAAGTAAATAGAAGAAATGACATAAAAACTAATCAAAAACATTATAAAGCATGAAGTTAAA